GGACACACTGGTCTCGTGCCCTGCTCCTGGGCGCTCCAGAGGGCACCACACCAGCTGGCTCCTTGATCTGCTCTGAAGAGTTGTCTTGTGTCCAAACAACCACTTCTGGCAGCCCCAGTGGCAACGGGGGGGTGTGTGTGTGTGCAGCTCTCCCACTGCCTGCCCCAGGAGACACTCATGTCCCTGTCACCCTGGCAGAAGAGGCTGGTGCCCAGCGTGGTGCCACGCTGGGGAAGGCACCCAGCAGGTCTTCTCCATGGCCTGACAGGGAGGTCTGTCCTGCTGCCTGCAGGAGGGTGCTGCCTAACCCCGGCTGGTGGGAGACCATGGCCTTGGCAAGGCTGGTCCTTAACTCCACTGCTCCCAACAGTTCAGTATCATCATCCGGCCCCTCTTTGAGTCTTTCAACAGCATGGTCTCCACGGCCAGCATGGAGAGCCTCACCCAGACGTCTCTTACCTGGCTGGATCAGCACTGCTCCCTCCCAGCGCTTCGGCCGAGTAGGTGGCCCTGCTCCTGTCCAGGGCGCCCCACAGAAGCTGGGCTGTCTGGATGGCACGGACCGATGGAAAAACAGAGGGGGAAAGGAGGGGGGTGGGGGTGCACCACGTTTCTGCCACATGGGCGGGAAGCACCTGTGGGATGTCCTGGGCTGCATGCTTAGTGCTTTTCCGTGCTGCTTTCACACCCACGTCCCAGCTGAGCTGGCTGCTGCTGACCTTCCTGAGAGCCTGTGTCCTATCGGCCCTTCCCGAGAGCCCGCGAGCCTGTGTCCTGGCTCAGCGGGGCTCAGCCTTTCCCAAGCCCCGCAGGGTGGGTTTCCCTTCACCCATTCTGCCGGGGGCCATGGCAGGGAGCTGTCATGCCATTTCAGGGGCCATGGCAGAGCTGGAGCGGGGATGGGAAGTGCTGTCTCCCCTGGGATGGGTTAACCCGGGCCCCTTCCAGCCCCCAAGGCACCTGACATGTCCCACATCTCCTCGCAGCCGTCCTGAGCTCCCTCCGGCAGCTGAGCATTTCCACCTCCATCCTGAGTGACCCGGCCTGCATCCCCGAGCAGGCAACGCAGGCAGTGGCAAGCATGGGCCGAGGCGGCGGCTCCTCTTAGTTGCCCCCGGAGGGGCTTTCCCAGCCTTGCCAGGACCTTCGGTGCTGCCAGAGGAGCGGCCGCCAACGCCAGCAAAGAGCCCCAGTGGATGGCCAGGCTGCGGGAGCAGGAGCAGCGCTG